AAGTTAATATATTTAGAGTATGTGGTTTTATAATTCAATATAATTTAAATTATAAAATATTTTTTTAATATAGTTATAATTGGTGTAGGGTTTTAAATTTTAATATCTAAAAGTATATAAAATATATTTAATAAAGTAGGAATCTATTTACATATAAATTTTACATACCATACTTATATAAAATCTTAACTATTTATCTTTTCATTTTCAATAATTGAAATTTATTCACATTTAATAAAAATAGTTATTTTTTCACTTAAAAAATATGACAAATCTTAATCATTAATAACATAAAGATAAATGGTTATGATTTATGTATAAATAGATCTTTTCTCTATTTGATATTTATTTTAATTAATATTTTTATTCAATATTGTTCTTGATAATATACACTACTAATCTTTCATGTATTGATCAATCACAACTGGAATCAAGCCAATTCTAGATTGATATAGATAGTGTTATGTAAATTGCTTATCATGATATCTTCCTTGAACGAAACATAATGATGTTGATTTTCAATTTATTTGCCATTACGTTGCGCAAGAAACTATTCATTGGCTTTGCTATTGGATGCTTTTGTATTCTTCTTTCTAAATTTAAGTTGGTTTCATTATAACTACTTTGAGTTTGAGGGGTGTTAGATATGAATATAATATCCAATGAGTTGTGAATTAGTTGGTAATGAAATTTACTCCCCACCTTGTCGATCAAGGTTCAATTCTTTGGTGAGGCCAAGGGGGCGGCAATTCTTCATTGAATTATCTTGTCCCAAAGTAGATGATTTGCCTTTAATTGGACCGAAGAAGAATTAGTCCTGAGGCGCGTGCAAATTGACTTAGAGAGATCTTAACTGCTAAACCCCCTCCCCCCACCGCCCCCCAAAAAAAAAGAAGATATGAGCACAATAATGAAAAATCAACTATTCACACTATTCAAATCATATTTATACTATTTATAATTTTTTTTTTTGTAAATATTCTATACCTAAGAATATTATTTTTATAAATACTTATATATAAGTTATTTTACATATATTATTAATATTAATTTAGAAAGCAAAAAACCTTTATTCTTTCTTTTTAAATTAGAAAAAGTGTTATACAATCTGAATTATACTAGACTATACAACATGACTATTGAATGAAAGTTAAGCCTCCAAAATATGGGTTGGACCTCTTGATATTAGGAGCTCTCCCTACATCTAACTGTTCTTATTTTATAATTCGATGTAGTCAAATTAAAACATTTCTAATGGTTCAAAGGAAAGGCAAAGTGATTTACATTTGCTTTACATGAATGGTCAAGTAACCCCTTAGAGCGTGCTAAAGTAATTGAATAGTACAGGGTGGTGCAATGTTAAAATCTAGCCTTTTTAAGCCTTTATTTTCAGATTTAGTGTTGATGTAAAATGAATTTGAGGTAACTTTTATATCTTTTTAATATTTAGCTTATTAAAAAAATTTTAATACAACCCAAACTGTAAAATCAGAGTTCTTTTTTCAATTTCTTCCATAACCAAATCAAAGACGCGTTTCTAAAACATAATAAGACGCTTGAAGTATATATTTAAGAAAGACAATCAAGGAGACCCACTCTCCTACTGAAAACGTTGACTTTTTGGTCTGAAGCACTAGGGTGAGTAAGTTTGGTTTTGGCTACTACAAAAAATAAAATTATCGAGCAATTAAGACGTTATTTACTGTGGTTATAAGTTTAAATTTTTTATTTTAATTTTTATAAATTTTACAACTAATGAAAACTAAAATTAAAAATAAAAAGTTTAAAATTTGTTTAAAAAAAATTCAAATATTGACAACTATGAATATTTACTTATTTAATAATATTAAAATTATTTTTTTTCTTATTTCTATAATAATCATAATAATAAATTACAAAAAA